CCTCCCAATCTTTCAAATTTGCATGATGTATTTCATGTGTCACAACTCCAGAAGTATATTTTAGATCCATCTCATGTGATTCATATGGATGAGGTGCAAGTACGGGATAATCTCACTGCGGAGACGATGCATGTACGAATTACGGATCATGAAATGAAGACTTTAAGAGGCAAAGAGATTGTTTTGGTGAAAGTAGTCTTGTTAGGATCTGCCGGAGAAAGTATGACGTGGGAGTTGGAAAGCAAGATGCAGGACTCCTATCCTGAGTTATTTGAATGAGGTAAATTTTTGAGGAAGAAAATATTCTAAGTGGGTGAGAGTTGTAACGCCCGTTTATTTAATTAATTAATTAATTGAAAAAAATTGGATTATTTGTTGAAGTTGTGAGATGTTGAGAATTGTTGGTATAAGTTGTTAGATTATTATTAATTAATTAATTAGTTGATTAATAATAATAGTAATGTTAGAATTAATAGAATATTCACGTGGGCCTATTTTATATGGTGATATGTAGTACTAAGGGGGTGTGAGAATTAAGCCCAACAGAAATTCTATTATTATTGAGTTTAGTTATAATAATAGAAAAATAGGTTTTTGTCAAGAAGAAGAGGAATAAGGGTTGGAAGAGAGAAAGAGAACGTAGAAGTTGCAGAGCAAAGAATGAAGGGAGGCAAAGCGGGGTTCGATCAAAAAAATCATAGTGCAGCCTTTAATCCAAGGTAAGGGTGGGGTTCTGACTCTATAATTGGATATATGTCTATTACTTAGGAGTTGTTACAGAAAAGGGTTGATTACAGTAGAAGAGTTATCAATTCAATTTATTTAGCAAAGTAGGTGTACATGTAGCTGGGGTAATTGGTTGGTTACAAAGTTAACAATAATGAGTAACAGGGTAGTAAGTGTTAGCAGAAAATTAGTAATTAGCAGATAATGTAATGAAAATTGTTAATAGCAATGAATATTTGGCAAGGATAATTAGTAAATTACAGAATTAATAACTGGTATAGTAATAGTTGTAGAACTAGCAGTAAATAACAGTAGTATTAGTACCCAAGATATATTAGCAGTAGAGGTAATTTAAGTAGCAGGAAAATGATAGTTCCCTTAATTTAGCCGAAAACCATTAATAAGGCTTATGGCAAAATAATTTAGTGGAATTACCTTAGTAGGAACGTGTTAATAATGTTATTGGAATGGAGAGTAAAGAAATGCCGAGAAAAGGACCAGAGACGCGAAATATGAGAATATTTGAGATAGTTGGACAACGGGGGAATCAGAAGGTGGTGCCGATTCAGGAAAAGTTCAACTTTAAGCCTTCCCGAAAACTACTAGGAGCTCTTCACCCCACTTAACAAAGGAGGGAATGAATCCTTCAAAATGTCTACCAAGATCATCTCGGAGCCCCACATCCCTAAAGGAGATTCCATGGAACACAATCCAAACAAATGGTACAAATATCACAAAAATATGGGGTCATTATTTAGATGATTCTCACCATCTAAAACAAGGGAGTGAGAGGAATATTTAATAAGGTCGATTGTCGAGATATGTGCAGGGAAATTTACAAGGTCCAGAAAGAATAACCTCACCGCGAAAAGAATCCTGCTGAAGAACACCCTCACCGTGAAAAGATTGGAGTAATGAAGAAGGACATGAGTCTGTTCGAACATATAACACATTGAATATGATAGTCTAAGGCTTTGTGGAAGATGGAAGGTCCATTTCATCCAAGTAAACGTACTCATAGAAAGTGATGCATGTTTCTAGTGCCTCGCCCATTGAGAAAGCAACCCCTTGCTAGAAATCAACTTTTTCAACAAAGATGCGGAGGGGATTGTAATGTCCGTTTATTTAATTAATTATTTAATTAAATTAATTTTTTGGATTATTTGTTTAAGTTGTGAAATGTTGGGAATTATTGGTATAAGTTGCTAGATTTATTATTAATTAATTAGTTAGTTGATTAATAATAAATAGTAATGTTGGAATTAATAGAATATTCACGTGGGCCTATTTTATATGGTGATATGTAGTACTAAGGGGGTGTGAGAATTAAGCCCAATAGAAATTCTATTATTATTGATTTTAGTTATAATAATAGAAAAATAAGTTTTTGTCAAGAAGAAGAGGAATCGGGGTTGGAAGAGAGAAAGAGAACGTAGAAGTTGCAGAGCAAAGAAGGAAGGGAAGCAAAGCGGGGTTCGATCGAAAAAATCGTAGAGCGACCTTCAATCCAAGGTAAGGGTGGGGTTCTGACTCTATAATTGGGTATATGATGCATGTTACGTGGGAATTGGGTTGTGCGAAATTGTTGCTTTGTGTAACTGTGGTATGAATAAATTGTTGTTTGGAATTTGTGATAATTGTGCTAACGTTGCAGTGATTCAATCGATGAATCGAGTGTTGGAAATTACCATATAATAATGTGGTAATTTGGAAAGAAAGGGAGCACAAAGTTCGTAAAAGTGATATATATGGTGGCGAACGCCTTTTTTCCCATATAATATCATTTGTGGCCGACCTTATTTCAATGCTCTAGAGGCCATGTTATCAAATCATTACCAACTATAAAATATCCTTTAAGTAAAAAGCGGTTTGGTTTAGTCAAGGGAGATCGGGAGTTGGCAAGAAGGTGCTACCAAGACAATTTAAAGTTAAGAAATAAGGGAAAGGCAGAGACAACCTTTCTATCTAGATCCCAAAATGTCAACTACATGGTTTTAAACCCACGAGAAAATCATAAGGATGATAGATTGAAACCTATGGAGGAATTAAAATCATACAAATAGGGAAGAGGAGGCAGACATTGTGCAACTAGTAAAGAGAAATTGGATATATTCGCATGGACACCAACCGATATTCCCGGAATAAATCCATTACGGTCTGTCATCATATAAATAATGGGCATGAGCTTAAGCCCATCATATAGAGGAAGCACAAGGAGGGGAGGATAAAAGAGCAACAATTTCAAAAGAAGTAAGAAAATTGAAGGAAGTCGAGTTCATACGGCAGATTGAATATCCAACCTGGTTAGAAAATGTCGTGATGGTGAAGAAGGAATCTAAATAATGGTTGATGTGCATGGATATCACCGACCTTAACAAATCATTTCCCAAAGACCCTTATCCTATATCGACCATAGACAAGTTCAACGATGGTGCCTTTGAGTTCTGGGTGTTAAGTTTTATGGATGTCAACTCAGGTTATAACTAAGTAAGAATGAACTTAAGTGATGCATAAAAGACAACATTCATGATCAATCATGATAACTTCTATTACGAGGTCAAGTCATTGGGTCTGAAGAATAGTAAGGTGACATATTAGAGGATGGTGTACATCATTTTCTCTGAGAAAATATGTAGGATTTTAGAATTTTGCAACTATGATATGGTAGTCAATACACCAGATGAGGGGTGACACAACGAAGATTTAGGAGAAACATTGACATCCATGAGGAAATAAAATATGCGCTTGACCCCTAACAAATTCTTGTTCGGGGTACAAGTTAGGAAATTTCTAGGCTTCATATTAACAAGGCGAGAAATTGAGGCAAATCCAGACAAGTGTGAGACGATCATAGAGATTAGGAACCCAACATTGGTGAAGGAAGTGCAACAGTTAACTAGAAGAATCGCAGCATTATCACGTATTTTGTCATGTGCAGGTGACAAGTACATCCACTTCTTTGCAAAACTAAAAATATCAGCAAGCTTACAATGGACGTAAGAGTACGAGGGGGATTTCTAGGACCTACAAAACTTATTGACAATCCAGACCATACACACTCTCCCAAATAAGGATGTTCCTTGTATCTTTACTTATCAGTCACTTCCATTCACATAAGCTTAGTCCTAGTTCATGAATGAGACGCAGGGGGGAAGACTAATTTACTTCATCAGCAAGGTCCTGAAAGGGGTCAAGCTACATTATTAGAAGATAGAGCACTTGGAATTAGTGGTCGTAATTGTAATACCTCAAATTGGTCCGTCCTATTTCTAATAGTCAAATTATTCTTAAACTTTATAAAATTTTTGGTTTATTTATAACTAATATTTTAATATTAATTTATTTTGTTTTACTTTAAATTATTCGTATAACAAATAATTTTTCACCCTTCATATACTTTCAAGTGGTTTCTTATCACAAATAAATAATTTTCCATCCTTCATATACTTTCAAGTGATTTCTTATCACAAATAAATGAGTCAGCACAATTGGTAAAGAGGTTAGACTTTCAAGTATAAAGTTGTGAGTTTGAATCTCATTTGTTATATTTTTTAATATTTTTTCTTTTATTTGTTACTAACTTTATTTCCACTTTTAAAATCATAAAATTGTATTTTTTATTATTTTAATTTCAATTTTCGTTTTTATTTTTAAGACATTTTTAAAAATAATTGATTTAATCTCAAACCGACAGCAAGTTGTTCATTAAAGTCAAATCCAATTGTCAAATCATGTTGATTTAATCTCAATCCAGTTTGCATCTCTTAAAGTCACACATTAAATGAGATAACTATTTCAAACTTGAAAAAATGCAAATAATACAATCATTGTCTTCAACAAAGAATGCTGCATTATTGGTTAAGTTAGTTTCTTTGGTGCAACCACCACTCTTGTTAAGATGGAACATATAAGAACTACCACATTCTTGATCATTAAGGTTTACCAACAGCATTTACATAAATAATGGAAAAAGTAATAACTTCAAGAATTGATACATCTCTTACTAGTTCAGTTAGGTAGAGTGAGTGATTAAGTATATCACTTCAATAAGCAACAGTTCATGTCAAGATCCTAGTAATAATCAAGCTGAAGTTGTTTCTCAAACAGCTTAATTTCTTATACATGCAGAGAGAAAAATAATAAATTGTGAGAGAACAAATCAACAGATAGAAAATAGTAATATAGCCTATTTAACCACTTGAAATTTGACTAGATACACTTTTACAAGTAGAAGAAAGCACTTAATAATATCAATATAACTACACAGTGATGCCTCATGATGATGATCCAAACAAGGCACATTGCTTTCTTGCATGAGGGGGAACCAGCTTCACCAGCATCTCGGCCGGAACTCCCTTGAGCTCTGCGTTAGAGTAGCAAGCGACATCGGTATTAATATAGAAGTTCAAGAGAGATAACTCGATTACAGAATGTTTTTCAGAAATTAGTTTTTTACCAGTGACTTTGAAGTTGAATAACGGGGGAAGGAAGCGTCCGTTCGGCAACCGAGTGTTTGGATCGCGCAGCTCGTCAAAGAATGGATGAACCAGTGCCTCCAACTACATCACATCACACAAACTTTAGTTTAAGATAATATTCAGTTGGAGATCGACATTATCTTATATAAGCATATATACTCACAGCAGTGCTTCGAAGATTTGGAGAGTATTGCAATAGTCTTGAGACAAGATCCACGGCTTCAGGTGGCATTCGCTTGTGAAAGATCTGATGACGAGGGATCAAATGTTCGATTAGTTTCACTAAACAACAGTCTATTTAGTAAAACAGACAAGCAAACATCACATACCTTGTGCCATGGATGAGCTTTGATTTGAGGAAATTTAAACTCTGTATAATTAGGATTCATACACTTGATTTCTTCCCTTGTCGGAGTACCTAAAACCTGCGAGTGAATCCACGAATCTTCAGAATTAATGAAATAACAAATAGCACTTAACAAACAGAAAGGTGAGACAAGATCACTTAAAGTCGATATGTTCAAGCAAGTTGCAATTGTTTAAAACATATCTTACCTTGATAATTTCCACAAGTTGGTCTACACCACTCTCACCAGGAAAAAGCGGCTGAAAAGAATAGAATTTCTTCATTAGTTTTGGTACTCGCATGAATTGTAAATGTAACTGGACCAAACATACTTGCAGAAGCTAGATATCTACCTGACCAAGCAAAAGTTCACCGAGTACGCAACCAGCTGACCAAATATCAATCGCTGTGGTGTATTCGGTTGCGCCAAATATAAGCTCAGGAGCTCTATAGTACCTAGAACAGATGTAAGATATGTTTGGTTCACCTTTAACCTGCAAAAGATAAAGCAATTAGTCTTGATAAAGTATCATATAGTCATCGAAAACAAACAATACGATTTCAAGGTTAAGAATAAACGAACCAAAACTTTAGCACTTCCGAAATCACATATCTTCAGTTGGTGCGTGTGAGGATTGACCTGTTATGAGACAATATCCACAAGAAACAACCAAAAATCACTATCTCCATTCTTGTATTCATATTCACTTAAATAGTATAAACTACGAAGAAATTAAACAAGTTTCCACGCAAATATACCAGTAAATTTTGAGGTTTAATATCTCTGTGACATACTCCAATACTATTGTGAATATAAGCAAGCGCTCTGCAAATCTACATAATGAAAAGGGAAGAAATTATCAGAACCAACAAACCGACATAAACACTGACTTTCACAATATCTAGTTAAGGATTAACTAATTTTTATGTACTACATAGAAATATACCTGGTAAGAATAAAGTTTGACATATATCATAGGCATTCTTTGATTCATTTTATTGTAGTGTCTGATCACACGACTAACCGTCTCAGGAACGTACTCAAGCACCAAGTTAAGATAAAGCTCATCCTTTTCAGTCGTCGAGAAGAAACAATGCTTCAAAGATACAACATTCGGGTGATCCAAAAGGCGCATGGTTTGCAGTTCCCGGTTCTTGTACCTCTTGTCCTGAAGAACCTTCTTTATAGCCACAGTTTCTCCGGTCTCCAAACACTTCGCCTATCATAACAAAAACAAAACAACAAATCAATATCAATATATGTATCCATCCAAAACATCAAACCTCTACTCAATTTCCAAGCTAGCAAAAACAAAGAATACATAAAAGACTAACTAACCTGAAAAACTACACCGAAAGATCCATGTCCAACTACGCGCTCGGCCATGTAACTTATCGTCTAAAGTCATAAAACCAAAAAACCAAAAGCCAAAAACCAAAATCAACCATTTAAGTTCAACAATTTTATAGCAGTTCAATAACGACCGAAAACGATAAACCAAACACACACAAACCTGCTTTGGCTGGCCATTTTTACCACCAATGGTAGTGACAATTATATGTCCAGTTTCAGTCCCATTTCCATCTACAACCACAGTAGCAGCTTCCATTTCCTGCATTCACATTCAGATCAACAAATTTCAACATAAATATACCACATTCATTCAACCAAATACTCTATCAACAATCAATCGTTAGTTGATTCAGTAATGATTAGCGCTGGACTTGGGAGGGAGGACCACCAATTCCCCGCAACTGTAATCGGGAGGGGCTGGAACCACTTGATGCCAGAACTGACCCCGAACCGGATTAATCAGCCGGTGAAAACCAAAAAAAAAAACTTAATCAACAACAAAAATCCAAACAAAAAATTCTCTTAACCTTATCATCTCTAATTTTCATGTCATTCATTTCCTCAGGTAACTTTTCAACACCAGCCAAACTTGCATTCTTATCTATAAAACCACAAACAGGTGCAACACCACCTGAAGCCATCATCAGCACAGTTTACAAACCTTCAAAAGTGAACATCAACACTTCAACTTCAACCCTACAAAAAAAGTCAAAAACAAAAACTGCATCAAAATTCAGCAACTCAACTCAAAACACTAGCAAAAAAAAAAATGAAGCATTAGTAACTCACCAGAGAAGAGGTTGGATTGGATCTAGGTGTAGGTGTAGGTAGTTGTGAGTATGAATGGAAGTGAAAACCGTGAGATTCGGAGAGAAGAGACAAAGAGAAAGAGAGAGAAAAAAGACAAATGGAAAATAATAATTGAGTTGAATTCAATTGGTGTGTATGTAATGTATGTAGTCAACACAACACAAACATCTATGTCTTACTTTTGTTTTTTTTCCTTTTCCATAAAATCTAGTCTTATCTCTTTTTCTACTTTTTGACCGTTCAACATCCATTTCTCAAGATTATTTATTCATAATTTTTTTTCATAAGTGATTTGTGTCTACGTACGCTCTCCGTAATTTGTGTCTACATACGTTCTCCGTACAATGAGAGATCAAGATATTCGTAATTCATCTTAAAATTTGGTGAGTTGTGTATTTTTTATGAACAATGCTAGCGAATCATATTCTTTTTTAAAAACTTTTAAAAGAAAAAGTCTGAAGACAAAAATGTTTGTATTGATTGATGGTTTTTATCTTGAAAAAGGATTTTGTAATGTTAAAGTATTTTGAGAAGTTTGGAAAAAAGAAGTTTTAGTTTTAACATGGATGTAAAAGAGAAAGACTAAACAAAAGGGAATCTCAATCATATAAGTTGTCATGCTTGTGGACCTAAGGTTGGGATGAGAGGAAGATCTACCTAATGTTGTCATACATGGATAGCAAACCTAAGGTCTATTTAGTTCAAACTTAGAGAAGAATAAACTAAAGATCCTGTGGGGAACATGGCAATCTCATAAAAGAGAAGAATAAGAAGAAGCAAACAATCACACTTAGATAAGAGAGAAAGCAAGTGTTATACCCCAAAATTTTCCCTCCCATTTTCTTCAAGGTATCTCCTTATGCTTCTAGGGTTTTCAATTGCTCAAGGTTTGATCAGACAAATTCTCCTCCTAAGCAGTTGACCTACAACTAGGATTTCACTTTTCTCAAGGAAATTTGAGCTTATAATGCCTCAAGTGGATTTCATGGTTCCTCATATGTCTCAAGGAATGTTCATGCCAAATTTTAAGCCTTACATCACAAGATTGCTCAGTCAATTGCTCAAATGATTGAAAATCAAATGTATTGGATAAAAAAGTCAATTATGGTCAACATACAGTCAAACTTCAAGATTTTTGGTCAACATCAAGATTTTAATGTCACATTCATCATTTGATCAAGGGTTGATCATGATTCATCAAGAAAACTCCAAATTTACCAAAAGTCAAAAGTTACCAAATTAGGATTTTCTTAAGGAGAGTCAACTGATCTTTGACCAAGCTAACTTTCACATGCTTCATCAGATATTTCTCAACCAAAGCTTATGTTGAAGGAAATTCAATTCTCTACAATTTTGTGAATCTAAGCTCAAGTCAAAAAAATGCTTCATTTGAGAGATATGAGTCAATACATTATAGAACATTTTGAAATTCAACAAAAAGAAACTTTTTGTCAAGACAACTTACATCAAGATAAAGTCTTCAAATGAAAAAAATGATCAACATAGAGATTGTAGATGACATCTTGTGCTTTCCAAAAAATCCAAAATCATCTTCATATGATAAAAATTGAGAGAGTTATGATTGGTGCAAGTTGGACAATTTTGAGAAAATGCATGAAATTCAAATTGATCAAACTTGAATTTTTGGGCTAGTGGGCTTATCTTTCAAGGTCCAAACGTGTTTTAGACTTCATAGTGAACCTTTGAATCTATTCATACACCCCTTTGATTTTTATTCCATTTATTTTTTATTTTATTTATTTAAATTTAAAATTAAATTAAATAAAATCAAAGGCTTTCATACAAAGGTCCAAGCCCACTTTCTTGACCTAATTTTTCTCTATATATTCTCATTATTCCGACAAGACAAAGGACACGAACCCTGGCAAGAGAAATCCCATCCTAAAACTTCAAAAATTATCCAAAGCTAGGGCAAATCGAAACCCTATTTGCAGCCTTCCTCAAGGCCAAATAACCATCCCATTCCACTTCAGGGACATTGTAGGGTAATATTTGATCATCCCTTATGATCCAATAGGCCTGAAAATCACATACGTACCTCGCCGTTTTTTTTATTTGCATGAAGTTCATATTTTTATTTTTATTATATTTTGATGCATACTAACATCACTAATGTGCTTCTGAGATGACAATATGTAGGATAAACCCATCGCATGAGTCCCATAACGATCAAATCCTATATTTCCATGTTTGAACCATTTCATATCATTTGCTTTGTATCTCATCATAAAGAGGGAATTAGTCAAAACCAATGCCACCATTGAATTTGCAAGGTCCAAATTAGGGGGGGTAGGGTACCTTTTAATTATTGACAAGCTTTATTTTACAAGAACACAAAACGCAGTCGCGGAGAAGACGACAGAAGCTAGGGCTCCGGCGCCTCTCCGACCCATTAATTTTGGTTTATTATTTATTTATTTGTTTCCCTTGATAGACAGGATGAAACAGTCACCCCAATGACAAGCGCACGCATGTTAAGGCTTTGGTATAGGAGGGTGTGCATTCGATCCTTGCCTTTTATTGTTTTTTCTCATATTTTCCAATGTTTTGCAGGTTTAATACATTTTGAATGGTACCTATTTTACTAACACCAATACAAGCTTGACACAGTGGTAGGCTATGCAGGGAAGAAGGAAAAGGGCGTGAGTTCAACATCCACCCCTGACATTTTTTAATATTTTTTGGTTTCTAACCTTTTTCTTTCATTGATTTTTCTTCCCCTAAACCTTATTTTTCAATTAACCAAAAATTAACAAAAACATTTTTTCCTTAACTCTAAAAATAATTAGATTTTAGATTTTTAATTAATATTTTAATAATTTAATTAATTAACCTTTTCTTTTCAATTTTAAAATTAATTAGATTTTTAGGTTTTATTTAATTAATTATCATCAAACTATTTTCTTCATAAAAAATCACCAAAAACATTTTCCTTTTATTTTTCCTATTTTTCTAGATCAAGTTGTATAGGTCGCGCGTTTCGTATGTAATAGCTTAGAACTTTATTTCTCGCTTTCTTTTTTTCATTATCATGTAATTACTCCCGGGATGTAATAGTTTAGGGTTTTATTTCTCGCACTCTTTATTATTATGTAACCTCCCCAAAGCTCTGTAATAGTTTTAGGTTTACGTTTCTGCCTTTACCTTCTGCTATTATATTTTCTATACTATTGTTAGTAATTAGGGTTTGTATGGTAAGATAAAATAAACTGATAGCAAAACCCTACTTTCAAGGATAAATAACTGAAGTGAACATACTTACACACTTGCACCTCTAGGGTAGCTTCTCTTTGTTGCCTTCGGAATAATTGGTCATGTCCCTCCATGACCCTTCGAAGTTTCCTACAAAATAATCTAGTCCTTACGAGTAAATGATGATAGTCCCTTCGATATAATTGCTAAAGTATCTTTACATGTTGCCTTTGATGACCACACGATGACCCTAAGCTTATCCCTTCATATCCAATAGATAGGGCTACCTACCAACTAATGGTATGGATGACATTATCTCCAAAGGAGAAGGAAAATAACAAGAAAGACTTTAGTGGGTAAGAACTCCTAATTGCTTGATCACAACCTTCCCAAAACATTTTTCACACATCACACTTTCAAAAACAAATATTTTCAAACACTTTGTACGCGTTCTTGAGGACTGATACAAGAACAATTACAAGGTTCACCTTACATTGGCAAATTTCAAAATATTTTCAAAACACACGCACAAAAAAGAAAATTTTCAAAAGTGAGCTAAGCAATTAAGAGCCCATAGATAACTATAGATGAAAAGGGTGTTAACACCTTTTCTTTTCATAACTTACCCCTCGAACTCAAAATCTTCAAGGTCTTTCCTGTTCTTTTGACCCTTTCCTTATTGGATAAAATAAAAGTTGGTGGTCACTCTTGTTATCCGCACATTTGGATAAAACCAAGAAAGTCAGTTCTCCCACCATATTATAGAATTGGCGACTCTGTTGAGGATTACGTACTTAAAAAAATAGGGGTTACCTTAGAGTCTTAGATCAATTTTACTTGCTTTATTTGCCTGTTTTGTTTGCTTTTAATTTAAGGGTTGCTTGGGTTTAATTTCTTACAGAGATCCTACACTCGGATCTAGGGATGCCTTAGGTAAGTAGCAATAGATCATGGAAATTGTATGGCATAGACCGATATGGTTGAAGTGATGGCTACGTTAGTGTGACACTTTGGTTTGTACCGATGTTCCTTGAGTCAATCGAGGATAACCTTGGGCTGCCGCGTGGTGTCATAAGCACTGACTGACTTTTAGAACCTTAATTGACCCATCTTGGCCATTATAAGATAGTGAGATAGTCGGCTTTGGTGCAGTCCAAAGTTGGTTGATACTCGATGCTACACTCATTGAGATTCGACCCGCGGGATGTTTTGGTGGCAAATCAGTTGTTGTACTAAAATAAAACCTTCGAGAAAGATCTGTGATATGAGAACCCTAGAACCCGATTACTATTTTAGGATAGGATGAGCCAACTTAACTTCAATAGATAAGGGTACTTACCTTTGGACCTCATGCAAGCCTTTAAACCTAAGGCTCTTGTGTGACTTGTTTGTGTTTGCTATTTGTTTAAACATAAACATAACATCATGACATCATAACATCTGACATGGAATTCTACTAACCATTTTAAGGATCTTATGGACCTTTGATGCAAGGTTATCATAAGTCGAACTACTAGCAAGGGGAAAGAGGATTTATTTTCCTCTAACTAGATGCCGCCAAAGATCAAAACATGTTCTCTTGAGTCAAAGGCTAAGACCTACTTGACATGGTGAGCTT